GACAAAATGAAAGAACTAGAAACTTGAAAACTTGATTGAAGAAACAAAAGATCGGTAAATCGAGAAACTCAATTAAAAAATTTAAAAAATCGTAAGACGAAAATATGTATTAACTGAAAAATCGAAACACCACAATTCAAAAAATTGAAATCGAAAATGGACAAATCGATCACTTTAAAATGAAAAATCCTAAAAATTGCATTACAAATCGAAAAATTGAAAAATTAAAAAGTTCTAATTGGAGAGTAGATTGAAGGAATGAAAAATCGAAAAATGAAAAATTGAAAACAAAAAATCTACAAATTTCAAATTGAAAACTGAAAATGTGAAAAACTGGAAACTCTAAAAACCGAAGCGAATTGCGAAATTAAGACAATCGAACAACTGAATGATTTAAGATTGAAAACTTGATTGAAGGAACGAACAATCGAAAAATTGAAAAAAAGCGAAAGACGCAAATGTCCAAAAAATTGAAAAATAAAAAAAATACAAAACTGTAATCAAAGACTAAAAAACTAAAAAGGAAACTAAAAAATTGAAAAACTGTAAATTCGAAAAATTGAAGAATTGGAATATTTAATAATAAAATAGAAAAACTGAAAGATTTAATATTGAAACCTATAGAAAAACTCAAAAAAAAAGAAAATTGAAAAAAAAAACCAAAGATGAAAATCTGTAAAAATCGAAAAATTGAAAACATGAAAAGTTGAAAAATCGAGAAACTGAAAAATCAAACAATTAAGAACTGCAAAGTCAAAAAATTGAAAAACTGAAAAATTTTAAATTGAAAATAAGATTGAAGAAATGAAGAATTAAAAACTCGGGAAACTCAAATATTGAACAACTGAAAACCGAAAAATTAAGATATCTAAAAACTGATAAGTCGAAAAATTAAAAACAGAGAAACTTAAAAATGGAAAAACTGAAAAAATTGTAAAATCGAAGAACTAAAGAAGTTAAAAATGGAAAAATTGAAAAATTGAAAACCAAAAAAAAAATGGAAGATCTAAAAACTGAAGAATTGAAAAATAAAAAAATTGCGTGAAATTAAAAAAATCGAACAATTGCAAGATTCAACACTGAAAACTTGATTGGAGAAACGAAAAATGCAAAAGCAGAGAAAAAATCGAAAAAAAATTTCAGATCGGAAAAGTGAAAATCCAGAAACTGAAAAATAAAAAAATGCAAAATTGTAGAATCAGAGAATGAGAAACTGAAAAATTTAAGATTAAAAACTAGATTGATGGAGCGAAAAATTGAAAAATCGAGAAAGATAAAAATCGAACAATGAAAAATGAAAAACTAACAATTAAAAAATGAAAAATCAAAAATAAAATGTAGAGAAACTCAAATTGAAAAACTGAAAAATTTTAACATCTAAAAATTTCTAATAACAAAATTGATGAAACGAAAAATTGAAAGATTTAGTAAATGAAAAACTGAAAAACTAAAAAATCGGCCGAGTTGTAAAACTTAAAAAATCGAAAAATTGAAAAATTTCAAATTTCAAATCTAAAAATTGAAAAAACGAAAAACTTAAAAATCGAGAAAGAAAAATTTTCAGTTTTTTGATTTCTGAAGTAATCTTTTTTTTTATTTTCCCATTTCTTCCCAAAGTTTCGATTTTTCGCTTCTTCAATTCTTCAATTTTGCGATTTTTCCGGTTTTTGATGTTTCAATTTTTCCATTTCTCAGATTTTTGATTTTTCAAATTTTTGATTTTTTAAACTTACGATTTTTCGACTTCTGGATTTCCCGATTTTCAGTTTTTCGTTTTTTAAACTTTGGACTTTTTTTGGCAAATACTAGCTCCACCCACCCGCCTTTTGTTTTCTTAAGAGGGTAGATCATTTGCCAAAATCAGTCTTATCGTATGCGTACTACTAGATTCCTCAGTTTTTCGATTTTTCAACTTTCGGATTCTTCAATTTCTCGCTTTTTACATTTTCAATTTTTTGATCTGTCTTTCGATTTTTGATTTCTCTGGACAACTGAAAAAACTTTCGATTTTTTAATTTTACAATTTTGACATTTTCCGAATTCTCAATTATTTGATTTGTAAAAATATCGAGAAAATAGACGTTTATATTTTTAATTTTCGATTTTTGATTTTTTGTCACCGAGTTTTTGGAAGGAGGTAAAAAGCAATTTTCATCAGCGATTTGCCATGTTTACCGAAACTTTAAAACATCTGAAAATTTTGTTCCTAATTTTCAATTTTTCAAGATTTCGGTTCGAATAAATTTGTTCTTTTAGTTAAAAAATCGAAAAATGACAACCCGTGAAAAGGAAAAATTTTAACTTGAGAACTTGAAAAATTAAAAATCAAAAGATTCAAAAATTGTGAAGTTAAAACTTGAAAAATCAAAAGATTGGAATTAAAAACTGCAAAATTGTCAAACAAATTATCAAATGAAATATTCAAAAGTTGAAAAATCTAGAAACAAAAAAAAATTAAAACTGGAATTTCGAATTCGATATATAAGATTTGTTTTTTCTTTCAATTTTTCGATATTTCAGTTTTTGATTTTCCGATTATACAGTTGTACAATTTTCCGATCTCTCATTTATCCGATTTTTCAATTTGTCATTTATTGATTTTTAAATTTTTTTATTTTTATGTTCTTAGAAGAATAAGTCATCTGCCAAAATCAGTCTCATCTTGACAAGTACTAGCCCCGCCCACCCACCCTTTACTTTCTTAGAAGAGTGGGTCATCTGCCAAAATCAGTCTTATCTTGACAAGTACTAGCCCCGCCCACCCACCCTTATTTTCTTAGCGAATATGTCATTTGCAAAAATCAGCCTCATACTTGCCAACATAAGATTGATTTTGGCAGATGACCTACTCTTCTAAGAAAACAAGGGGTGGGTGGGTGGGGCTAGTATCTTTTCTTGGAAGAGTAGGTCATTTGTCAAAACCCACCTTTTATTTTCGTAGAGGGTAGGTTATTTGGCAAGTACTACCATTGTGTAAAATTTCATTTTTGAAAAAGTTGTCTAAAAATTCTGAAAAAATTCAGAGATATATCCCGACGTGCTGATTCCAAAAATATAGCATGTTAATGGTAACGGAGCAATATTTTCGGAAAATTCGGTGTGAAATTCAATTTTTTTTTAATTTTTAAAAATTGCGATATTTCAATTGACGATTATAGAAAAACGGTTTAAGATATCGAAGAAATGAAGCCATAAGTGACTTCTGCGACCCAAAATCTACATGGAAGTATTTAGTTAAATTTCGAAAATCGTCGAGAATGGGTAGAAATTTGCATCAGGGAGGTAATACGAATACATAACGGGAAATTTCATTTTTGAAAAAGTCATCTAAAAATTCTGATTGAGTTCAGAGATATAGATCCCGACGTGTTGATTCCAAAAATATAGCATGGTTATGGTCACGAAGTAATAATTTTTTCGAATGTATCTTTTCGAAATTTCGGAAGTTGTTATTCAATTCCCTTTCAGCTTTTTGGGAAATTCGCTGATCCGAATAAATCGCTATTCCGAACACACCTTTCCCCGATTAATTCGGATTATCGAGGTTATACTCTATTTCGATTTTTGAATTTTTCAAATTTTGACATTTTAAAATTTTCAGTTTTTCGATTTCTGAAGTAATCTTGTTTTTTATTGAGGAAAATCGACGTGAATTGGAATGTGGTTTTAAAATAATCAGCACAAAGGAGTGTATGCACTAATAATAGAAAAATATGAAAAAAAACAATCAAAGGTCTAGGACAAGGTCGTTCACTTAGCCCCACTTTGTTTACTGCATACATAAGAAATCTTAAAAAGCGATAATCATACAACCCGAGGAAAGATTGCTCATCGAGAAAGACTAGAATCAACAGTAAAAAAAAAAACGAAAAAATTGAAAGTTGAAGTTGACGAAATTAAAGTCGTTGTTTTTAGCAAAGAAAGAAGACTAAATAAAATATTAGATGAAGAAAAATGTAAACAAAAAATGTTTAGGATTATCTGAGTCGATTACAATACTTCCTTTGCTTCCGCTCGGGAAGTAAAAAAACGACGACCAAAAATTAAACAATTGAGAAATTGAGAAAACAAGAGAAATTAACATATCCGGTATATACGGAAATTGTACCGATTTTGTGGTTTTGTTTGTCAAAGCTCGGTAACTTGAAAAACCAACTTCCTAGTTCCCAGGATCTTATTTATTTTCAATGGTAAGTACGCATTTCAACGATTTCGGCCTTATTTATATCTAATTTATTTCAATTTCCGAAAAATCGTTCTAAAATTAAACGATCGCTACAGACGCAACCAAAAAATAGTATCTGACGCAGAAACGATGATAATGTGACAAATGATATTTATATATTATACATTACAACTTGGTGTAAATTCATCAGGGATAAAAACAAAAAATACGTTAATATAGATAATGCGGATCCAAGTTGTACGATTTTCCAGCGTGGTTTAATCCACATAATTCAAAACAATTGAATTAATTAATTGTTGTTCGAGGTTGTATGTAACACAAGTTGGCACCAGTCCTGAAAAGGGCTTTTTCCGCCGCCAAAACATGCCAATTTAGCCACCGACGTAACACTCTCGTTTCTTTTGGGAATCGTTCAAAAATCCAGATAATGTCAAGGTTGCCAATGCGGTTTATGATTCAGTCCCAAACAACTCATTACGAGTCTCCGATATAAAAATTGGCCCCAATTGCGTAGGCTCTTCTCCAGTTCATTATGTCATCGTCGTGAAAAACTCGTGCAAGAAATTTAGCAAGCAACCCATTAAAAAGCTATTTATTCCGATCGCGCCAATCCGAGTTTCGCAACGCCGCATTCATCACCGTTTATTGAATAAAAAAAATAAAAAGAAAAAAAATCGAAATTCCGCACGCGGCCCCCATGCCGCAAGAACCCGCGTCCGCTCGCCCCTTCGCACACTATCCCTCCGCCTCCGCCAAATCGTTCGATCGCCGCAACGTGCTTCCGAAAACAGTAAACAAAGTGAAAAAGTCAGACCTTCGAGTCTCCGTTGCTCTGCAAATAGTAAATAATAACAAACATCCACGCCATGGAGAAGAGCAGCAGCACCTTGACGTTCCTCCGCATCGCGCCGGCTTCCACTCACTGAGCACACACTGAGTGTCTTTGAGGAGCGTCGACGAGCCGCCCCACATGCATCCGCCTCCGTCGCCGCCGCAGCACTGAAGTCGCGGCGGCGTTCGCATTGTGCTTCGCAGCCTCTCGCTGGTGGGACTCGCGCCCGCTCTCTCCTGCTTTCACGCGCGCCCGACAAGGACGCCAGACGAGCGCCCCGTCCTCGCCGGATCGGCCCGCGACGCTCTTCGTCTGTGGGACTGTTCAATACCCGCTGGTAGGCGAGCCGGCCCACAGAGGGCGTCGCCCGAGGAGCGACTCACTGTTTACTAGTAATCGCGGGGTGGCGAGTGTGGGGGCCGTCATTTCGGAAGCGCGGTCTCGGTGTTTACCTTGGGCCCGTGAAGAATGTCAGCACACGTCGTTTGTGTCACCTCGGGGGGCGGCCTGCCCATTTTTTCCAGGAAGAAGGGGAACGCAGACAGTGTAAATATTTTTAGGTTATGTTGACACCTACAACGAAAGACTTTTACGGAGTAGCTAAATCAGGCGGGACGCGTCAATCAATAGCGAGGGGAGCGGTGCTTACGGGGTTGGGGGAGGTGGAGGAAATTTGCTTTAAACCCTTTTTTGTGGTGTTATTTTAGTTATTAATAAGTGAATCGAGCAAGCGCTTACGGTGTGACAGATTGACAGATGGCGGGCGCGCCAAAATTTGAAATTAAATGCTTTCGCTGCTTTAAGAGGGTTAGACAAACCAGTTTTTTAAATTGGAGATTCGTATAAAAAATTAGTCGTAGGTTCCTAATGTACATACAAACATAACATTGTACAAACATTTAATAACTACAGCAGGTACAGTAAAATATAGATAGATTATGTCTAAATCTATGGGGAAGTACAATATTTTTTGAAATAAGTGATTGTTTAGTGTTTAATTAATCGTTCATTCTTCGAAGGAAATTCCATTTTTAGATGAGGAGAGAGCATGTTTCGCTTCAACTTTTATATCAGAGAATCTACTATCCCCGGAAGTAAGGCATATAAATAAAATTTTTCTAGGGGCTCTATGATATTATGTGCCCAAAATTTATAGTCTCGTTGAATTATGCAATATTTAAATTCTTTATGTGTGTAAACCACAAAGTAACACAATTCTTTTTTTGTAATGTGTAATTGTCTTTGAACCTGATACATGTAATTATGTAAAATTGAAAAATCCAAAGTTTAAAAAACGAAAAACTGAAAATCGGGAAATCCAGAAGTCGAAAAATTGTAAGTTTAAAAAATCGAAAATTTGAAAAATTCAAAAATCGAAATACAGTATGACCTCGATAATCCGAATTAATTGGGGAAAGGTGTGTTCGGAATAGCGATTTGTTCTAATCAGCGAATTTCCCAAAAACCTGAAAGGGAATTGAATAACAACTTCGAAATTTCGAAAAGATACATTCGAAAAAAATATTACTTCGTGACCATAACCATGCTATATTTTTGGAATCAACACGTCGGGATCTATATCTCTGAACTCAATCAGAATTTTTTGATGACTTTTTCAAAAATGAAATTTCCCATTATGTATTCGTATTACCTCCATTATGCAAATTTCGACCCATTCTCGACGATTTTCGAAATTTAACTAAATACTTCCATGTAGATTTTGGGTCGCAGAAGTCACTTCTGGCTTCATTTCTTCTATAACTTAAACCGTTTTTCCAGAATCGTCAATTGAAATATCGCAATTTTTAAAAATTAAAAAAAAAATTGAATTTCACACCGAATTTTTAGAAAATATTGCTCCGTTACCATAAACATGCTATATTTTTGGAATCAGCACGTCGGGATATATATATGAATTTTTTCAGAATTTTTAGACAACTTTTTCAAAAATGAAATTTTACACCTACTCTTCTAAGAAAAGGTACTAGCCCCACCCACCCACCCTTGCTTTCTTAGAAGAGTAGGTCATCTGCCAAAATCAATCTTATCTTGGCAAGCATGAGGCTGATTTTTGCAAATGACTTATTCTCTAGGAAAACAAGGGTGGGTGGGCGGGGCTAGTACTTGTCAAGATGAGACTGATTTTGGCAGATGACTTATTCTTCTAAGAAAATAAAGCATGGGTGAGTGGGGTCAGTACTTGCTAAAAATAAAAAAAAAATAAAAATCAAAAAATGACAAATTGAAAAATCGGATAAATGAGAAATCGGAAAATTGTACAACTGGAAATCGGAAAATCAATTAATTTTTTAGCTTACTGGATTTTGTTCGAAGTTTGGTTCTTTCTGGAATTTTTGAATTTTTTTTAGAATTCTTGATTTTTTTAAGATTTTTGACTATTGTTCTTTTGATTTTTGGAATTTTTTGGATTTTTTCTGGTTTTTCTGAATTTTTCGTCTTTTGTTGGATTTTTTGGATTTTTTTTAATTTTCCCGTTTTTCAAGATTCTCCATGTTTTCGAGATTTGCCAGATTTTCTGAATTTTCAAATTTTCTGTCCAGATTTTGCAGATTTTCTGGATTTTTCAGATTTTACAAATTTTCTGAATTTTCCAGATTTTCAGATTTTCCAACTCATCTGGATTTTCTGGATGTTTTCGATTTATTGGTTTTTGTTGGACTTTTTTGGATTTCATTGATTTTTTAACTTTTTTTTTCGATGTTTGGTTCTTTCTGGAATTTTTGAAATTTTTTTAGAATTTTTGTTATTTTAAGATTTTTGACTATTGTGCTTTTAATTTTTGAAATTTTTTGGATTTTTTTTCTGGATTTTCTGGATTTTTTTGTCTTTTGTTAGATTTTTCAAGATTTTCCATGATTTCCAGATTTGCCAAATTTTCTGAATTTTGTGAATTTTCCAGATTTTCTGGGTTTTCCAGATTTTTTAGATTTTCTGGACTTTCCAGATTCTCTGGATGTTCTAGGTTTTACAGATTTTGCAGATTTTCGAGATTTTCTGGATTTTCCAGATTTTCCGGAATTTGTGGATTTTCCAGATTTCCCAAATTTTCTGGACTTTCCAAATTTTCGAGATTTCGCTGGACGTTCCAGATTTCTGAATTTTATGGATTTTTCAGATTCCCAAGATTTTTCAAATTTCCTGAATTGTCTAGATTTTCCAGATTATCTGAATTTTCTGGATTTTTTGTTCTTTTTGGAATTTTTTATTTCTTTTCAGAATTTTTTATTTTTTTAAGATTTTTGATTTTTTCCTTTAGATTTTTGGATTTTTTTTTTGTTGGATTTTGTCGTCTTTTGTTGGATTTTTTGGATTATTTGGATTTTTTTTAATTTTCTAGTTTTTCAAGATTTTCCATGATTTCCAGATTTGCCAGATTATTATTCTAAATTTTGTGAATTTCCCAGATTTTTTAGATTTTATGGACTTTTCAAATTTTCTAGATTTCCCAAATTTTCCAGATTTTCTGAATAATTTGGACTTTCAAAAATTTCTAGATTTTCCAAATTTTGCAGATTTTTTGGTTTTTCCAGATTTTCTGAATTTTGTGGATTTTCCAGACTTCCCAGATTTTTCAAATTTTCTGAATTTTCCAGATTTTTTGATTTTCCAGATTATCTGGATTTTCTGGATTTTTTCGATTTATTGGTTTTTGTTGGATTTTCTTGGATTTCATTGATTTTTATCTTATTGGAATTTTTTCGATTTTTAGTTCTCTTTGGAATTTTTTATTTCTCCTTTATATTTTTGGATTTTTTTCTGGATTTTCTGGATTTTTTCGTCTTTTGTTGGATTTTTAGGTTATTTGGATTTTTTTTAATTTTCTGGTTTTTCAAGATTTTCCATGATAAAAATAAAAATCAAAAAATGACAAATTGAAAAATCGGGTAAATGAGAAATCGGAAAATTGTACAACTGTATAATCGGAAAATCAAAAACAGAAATACCGAAAAATTGAAAAAAAAAACAAATCTTATATATCGAATTCGAAATTCCAATTTTAACTTTTTTTTAGTTTTTAGGTTTTTCAACTTTTGAATATTTCATTTGATAATTTGTGTGACAATTGTGCAGTTTTTAAATCCAATCTTTTGATTTTTCAAGTTTTAGCTTCACAATTTTTGAATCTTTTGATTTTTAATTTTTCAAGTTCTCAAGTTAAAATTTGTCCTTTTCACGATTTGTCATTTTTCGATTTTTTAACTAAAAGAACAAATTTATTCGAACCGAAATCTTGAAAAATTGAAAATTAGGAACAAAATTTTCAGATGTTTTAAAGTTTCGGTAAACACGACAAATCACTGATCAAAATTGCTTTTTACTTCCTTCCAAAAACTCAGTGACAAAAAATCAAAAATCGAAAATTAAAAAAATAAACATCTATTTTGTCGATATTTTTACAAATTAAATAATTGAGAATTCGGAAAATGCCAAATTGTAAAATTAAAAAATCGAAAGTTTTTTTCAGTTGTCCAAAGAAATCAAAAATCGAAAGACAGAAAAAAAAATTGAAAATTTAAAAAGGGAGAAATTGAAGAATTCGAAAGTTGAAAATCAAAAAACTGAAGAATCTAGTTGTACGCGCTACGATAAGACTAATTTTGGCAAATGATCTACTCTCTTAAGAAAACAAAGGGCGGGTGGGTGGAGCTAGTATTTGCCAAAAAAAGTCCAAAGTTTAAAAAACGAAAAACTGAAAATCGGGAAATCCAGAAGTCGAAAAATCGTAAGTTTAAAAAATCGAAAAATTGAAAAATCAAAAATCTGAGAAATGGAAAAATTGAAACATCAAAAACCGGAAAAATCGCAAAATTGAAGAATTGAAGAAGTGAAAAATCGAAACTTTGGGAAGAAATGGGAATATAAAAAAAAAGATTACTTCAGAAATCAAAAAACTGAAAATTTCTGTTTCTCGATCTTTAAGTTTTTCTTTTTGTCAATTTTTAGATTTGAATTTTGAAATTTTTCAATTTTTCGATTTTTTAAGTTTTACAACTCGGCCGATTTTTTAGTTTTTCAGTTTTTCATTTACTAAATCTTTCAATTTTGTTATTAGAAATTTTTAGATGTTAAAATTTTTCAGTTTTTCTATTTGAGTTTTTCTATTTTTTATTTTTGATTTTTCATTTTTTAGTTGTTAGTTTTTCATTTTTCATTGTTCGATTTTTATCTTTCTCGATTTTTCAATTTTTCGCTCCATCAATCTAGTTTTTAATCTTACATTTTTCAGTTTCTCATTCTCTGATTCTACAATTTTGCATTTTTTTATTTTTCAGTTTCTGGATTTTCACTTTTCCAATCTGAAATTTTTTTTCGATTTTTTTATTTTAAAGTTGTAGACATTTGCGGTTTCGCTTTTTTCAATTTTTCGATTTTTAAGTTTCTCTGCTTTTGCATTTTTCGTTTCTCCAATCAAGTTTTCAGTGTTGAATCTTTCAATTGTTCGATTTTTTTAATTTCACACTTTGGCAATTTTTTTATTTTTCAATTCTTCAGTTTTTAGATCTTCCATTTTTCTTTTTTTAGTTTTCAATTTTTCCATTTTTAACTTCTTTAATTCTTCGATTCTACAATTTTTTCAATTTTTCCATTTTTAAGTTTTTCTGTTTTTAATTTTTCGATTTATCAGTTTTTAGATATCTTAATTTTTCGGTTTTCAATTGTTCAATATTTGAGTTTCCCGATTTTTTAATTCTTCATTTCTTCAATCTTGTTTCCCAATTTAAAATTTTTCAGTTTTTCAATTTTTTGACTTTGCAGTTTTTAATTGTTTGATTTTTCAGTTTCTCGATTTTTCACTTTGCATGTTTTCAATTTTTCGATTTTTAGAGATTTTCATCTTTCGTTTTTTTTTCAATTTTCCTTTTTTTGAGTTTTTCTATTTTTTTTTTACAAGTTTTCAATATTAAATCTTTCAGTTTTTCTATTTTTTTAAATATTCCTGTTCTTCAATTTTTCGAATTTACAGTTTTTCAATTTTCAGTTTCCTTTTTAGTTTTTCAGTCTTTGATTGTACAATTTTGTATTTTTTTTATTTTTCAGTTTTTGGATATTTGCGTCTTTCGCTTTTTTTTCAATTTTTCGATTTTTCGTTCCTTCAATCAAGTTTTCAATCTTAAATCATTCAGTTGTTCGATTTTCTTAATTTCGCAATTCGATTCGGTTTGTTAGAGTTTCCAGTTTTTCACATTTTCAGTTTTCATTTTGAAATTTGTAGATTTTTTGTTTTCAATTTTTCATTTTTCGATTTTTCATTCCTTCAATCTACTGTCCAATTTGAACTTTTTAATTTTTCAACTTTTCGATTTGTAATTTGCAATTTTTAGGATTTCTCATTTTAAAGTGATCGATTTGTCCATTTTCGATTTCAATTTTTTGAATTGTGGTTTTTTAACTTTTCAGTTTATACATATTTTCGTCTTACGATTTTTTAAATTTTTTTATTGAGTTTCTCGATTTACCGATCTTTTGTTTCTTCAATCAAGTTTTCAAGTTTCTAGTTCTTTCATTTTGTCGTTTCGTCAATTTTTCGATTAGAAATTTTTCAATTTTTAGTTTCTTTATTTTTTTGATTTAAGAATTTTTTGATTTTTCAATTCTTAGATATTTTAGTTGTTTTCACTTTTTTGGCTCTTGAGTTTCTGTTCTTTTAATTTTCCGATTTTTCATTTTTCACTCCTTAGTTTTTCGCTTTTCATTGCTCGGGAAAGAAATGGGAAAAAAAAGATTACTTCAGAAATCGAAAAACTGAAAATTTAAAAACGTCAAAATTTGAAAAATTCAAAAATCAAAATATTTAGAAATCGTAAAATAATCGAGGATAAAAATTGAGAAATTGTATCATTGAAACATGGGAAAATTGAAAAATCGAAAAATAACAAAATGGGCAACCTTAATATAATATATAATAATAATTAATAATAATAGATAATACATGTATAATAATTTCTTGTACATTCATTAATCATCCCTATCGCTAGTTGCCCTTCTCCACCATCGGCTCTCTGAACGGGGTCCACATGTTCGGCAAATCCCAGAAAATCAAACTTCTGGACACCCTAACCGAGGACTACTCCATCGTCTGGAAAGAGTACCACGACAGGTACAACCCCCACCCCCACCCCAATTTCCACTACTCACCCCCTAATTTCAGCCTCGTCCTCATCGGGATATCCAGCGGCTGCACCGACCAAGTCCTCGCCCAAACCCTCAACTCCATTTTCAACGCCGTCGTGCTAATCGTCGGCACCGAAGAAATCAAGACGCAGCGAAACATCGAAAGATTTAAAAGAGAATTGCGGGTAAGTCAAGCCAGCCCTCTTCAGCACTCATTACTTTGAAAATTTCCAGACATGCTATCCTCTAATAGACAGACTTCTGGATTCCCTCGACTGCGGCGATTCTGCAAGTAAGCACTCCTCTGATTTAGTGGGAATGGCTGAAACGATCCTCTGCCCCGAAAACCACTTAATCCAGGTCTTTCTCCTCGAGGAACTAAATAAACTCAAACAATTACATAGATTGTTTTAGACACGTTCACGGAATGTGTGGATTCGTTGTTCAGTTGTGTGCTAATCCACGGAAAAATTGCCGCTGCTACGAATAGCTGGTGGTCGCTGCATCCAGAGGAGATCAAGCTTCTGGCGTTATTGGCGCAGTCGGAGAATACGAGCAGCTCGAAAGACATCCCGGTTTTCCTACCCTACAAAAGTCCTACGGTAATATCGCGTGAGGTGCACCCAAAAATTCTAAATCGTCACCTTAGAACTGGTTTGCCGCATATCCAGATCGCGTCCGAGGGATTTTCGCCTCTGCTGTTTAGTGCAGATTTGCCGCATGTCGCACTTGGGCGAAGCGAAACATAGTTTAGATTCAGTGCTGATTTGCCGCATGTCCAAGCAGAAATCGATACAGTACCGTTATCCGTTTTTACGTACTTCCTTGCTGTTTTGCTTTTCAGCGTTAGGTTTGGGGTTGGGAAAGAAATCGTATTCAACTTCACGCGCAGAACAATAAGAATAATGTGAAATAAATAAAAAAGAGACTTAACAATTTTAATGAATCTGAAATTAAAAAAAAGCAACTGTAATTTATGCAACTCTTTTTCTGTTGTTATAGATGTTACAAATATTTTCAAATTATTAGATTCGAAATTTTACAAATTTAAATTTCAAATAAATTTGTTGTTCGATAAACAAATAATTTAATTTTTTACTAAACAGTAACATTTTTCTTTAATTTTTTCTCGGGAATGATTGAACTTATTGTCTCTAAAGTTTTAGTGAACAAGATTTATAACGCTGGATACACAATTTTTTGTAGTATTCTTATTTGTAGAAACGATATTTCTACATCAATAATCACAAATAATAGATACATTTTTAATTTTTTAAATTAAAATGTTGTAAAAGTAATATGAAAATTAAAATTTCGAAGCAAAATCTGTTTAGGTGGATTTTGCTTCGAAATTTATTACTGGAACGTTTACAAAAATCAGCTTTTGACATAAAATGCTTGCAAATTTGAAACAGAATTGGAATGTTTCTTGACAATCAAGCCTAATACATTTTTGACTTGTATCTTTTAAAAAGAATTATTTCCGAATTTATAGCTATTTACAATGTACGACTTACTTCAAGAACAAATTCCGTATTAGAATTTTACCTATAATAACTAAATAAATGTATGTTGTTAACTTATATAAGGTACCTTACATCGAAACGAGTCATTTGTTTTTTAATATGACATTGCCTTTCTTTATCATTCTATTTGTCTAACAATTATTGTTGTGCAATTATACCCGTGTAAATAAAAATAAATTTACAATAACTTATTTATGGGTAAATTTTTTTACCAATTAATTTAAATGGATGGTTATATGTAATGGTAATAATAGCCGCATAAAATTCACTCACTGTTTAGGTATACCAGATATCAAAAGCTATTAAATCCAAATGTTATTGTTTATTTTTTTTATGTCTCGAGCGCAAGCTAAGGAAGTATTGTAATCAGGTTCATCGGGCGACTTTTATGGCTTCTCAACGTTTCATGACTCCTATAATACGAAAACATAGGTCTCTCGTTTCCGGTTGATAAAACTGACCAACATTTGTAATCATCCTCCCCATCATATAACGTCATCTCCAACTTTTACAGCAATAAATGTTATATAAATTTTAAAAAATAACATACTTTTTCATTTGTTGTTTATTGAGATTTTACCCTAAGCATCCAGATTGAATTGAATTACCATAACCCTAATTTCTTGAGATTTTGGAAACAGGATATACTACATACATAAAGAAAGTTAAAAGAATTTGAAGTAATATAGTGATACTCTTTTTACATCAACATACTATTACTTATCAATTAATTGGGCATCGTCCAAAATACTGTTCATAAATTATAAGTGCAGGAAGTTTATGCAAAAACATGCAAATACATTTTTTGCGTATAATAATATGTATTGCTTTATTATTAAATATCTACTCATTTATAAGAATTATTAAAATTATTAAAAAAAAGTATTCAAGTCTCTTTCTAGTTTAATACCTTACCTTATTAAAATAATAAGTTTAATCAATTATGTAGTTAGCAAACAATGACGTTTAATTTATACTTAGTAGGGTTCACGGCATTAACTTTTCACATTGCATGTTTAATTCGGAGTTATAATTTGAGAATATAATTTACCCGTTTATTTATTTTTGTAGTTTAGTAGTACTTCAGCAAATTTAGAAAACTGTATGTTATTTAAAAATACGTGACAAATCACGAGGCCAGGCAATCTAGAGATCTGACTGCTGGTTTGCGCGGGAAATACTGCATACTTTTTAGATAAAAGGAGTCTATGATAAGCGCACGTAGGAGATGATAGACAGAGAGCTAATATTTAGAGCTAATGTATTGGAAAGAAATAGGACAAGTTTACGTGCGCACACCACAGCCTCCCTTTCTTCTCTAAACAGTTTGGGATCATACCATAGTATCATAAATAATAATTGACAAAGAGTTCGCAAAGGAATCCAACGGAAATATTTATACAATTGTTTACAACTACCAGTACAAATAATTCTTTCATTTTCAACTGAAAAGCGTATAACTATATTAAGTACTAGATATTATGGAGTTAGGGGTAATCAAATAGATTTGGGTTGCAGTCAACATAATTGTCACTGATACATAAGACATGGAAACGAATGATTTATTTCCAAATCCAAATATACTGCATTTACAGTTTTAAACAGTATTACTGCTAATTTTCTCTGGTTGCCCGAAAATAGCTACTTGTAGTCAATATCCATGTAATGTAATAAAATACTGGAATCTAATTGTTTGAGACAACAACCTATTTTTACCCGAGTGTTCTTTATCAGTTTGAATATTTTATATAAAAAAATTACATATTAAGCTGCAATTTTAGTAGGACTGCAGCGAGTCAACGAGCCGCCTTTACTCCGCCAATGCAAAGAAAATATCATTTTATTATCCTTTGTAAAAATAATTCCTTTCTGTAAAACACATTTAAATTTGGTACTCCGTATTTCGTTCACAATTCACCATTTAACAATGGAAATTAACAATGCAATATTTGGATTCTAGAGTTTTTAGGAAAAATGAATAACTGCAATGAGTTTTATCAAATGAAGATTTTATATAAAAATAAAGAAAAATAAGTCTCTTTATTTTAAAAATATTTAGAAAAAATCGAATCAAAACATCAATAACTTAACATTCATTGTTCGTTATACTTAGTTAACTACTTCACCACGAGATTTCTAATCTCGTTTCAATTTTTCATTTATTTCACATTATGAGTCCTTGCCGTATTACTTGTTCTGCGCGTGAAGTTGATTAAGAAATCTTAATCTTAATTATCTCTGAAAAATGTATCTATTATTATCTGTAATTATTGATGTGGAAATTTCATTTCCACAAATACGAATACAGGTATGCAGCACTATGAATTTTGTTGACTAAAATTTTAGAGAAAATAAGTTCAATCATTTCCGAGAAATCATTAAATAAAAATGTTACTGTTAAGTAAAAAATTAAATTATTTGTTTAACGAGCAACAAATCTATTTGAAATTTAAATTTGTAAAATTTCGAATCTAATAATTTGAAACTCAATCTTTCTTAAAAAAAAATCGAAAATATTTGTAACATCTATAACAAACAGAAAAAGAGTTGCACAAATTACAGTTGTTTTTTTTTTAATTTCAGATTCATCAAAATTGTTAAGTCTCTTTTTTATTTATTTCACATTATTCTTATTGTTCTGCGCGTGAAGTTGAATACGATTTCTTTCCCAACCCCAAACCTAACGCTGAAAAGCAAAGCAGCAAGGAAGTACGTAAAAACGGACATTGATTAAATACATATAGATAGACCCATGCTATTGTTTGGAGCGAACAGGCCAACGGCCGGCGAACAAGAGATGGCGCACCAACAGTCGGCCGTCAAACGCCGGCGAAAAGCTTGGACACCAATCGCGCGCGTAGATAACCCAAATCGCAGCAACAATACATTTAATAAAGCTACCACTCGACAGAGGGCGACGAAAACAATGTGTAAAAATCTCATAGTAACCATTTATATAATTTGCAACGTTGCCAGATGAGCCTAGCACAACTTTGCCGTTATTTCTAGTCGATTAGATTTTATTTCGTTTAAAAGTTTCTGGTGAATAAATGGAATTATTATAATGAATAAACAATACAAACAATAGTCCGATAAAATTGAGCCAAAAAGGACAAGTGTTCCATTTCCGGAAGCGGCCACTGACCCTTTTGGGTCTCTTTTGCTTTACCTGTTATTGTAAATACAAATGTAAATTTAGTACTTCTGTAACCGTCCTGTATTAAACATCGAAACCGAACGCTGTCTATTATCTCACACGCAAGAAAACAAAGGTCCTTGGAGCAATATCAAAGTACAATTCGGTATCACATTGTCGTATCAACCAGATTACAAAAAATACTGGTAGGACGAGCCGAGTTGCACAAAACATTCGTCCATCGAGTCGGATTATACAAAACAATAAGTCCTGTAAAGTGTTATAAGTACTATTATGTGTTTAAACATATGATGCTGATTTGCACGAATAAACAAATTAAAACATTTACCAAAGAGCGGTTGCTAACGATGTCAGAAAAAGTGACTCGATTTGGATTTTTTTCTCAAAATAATAATAATATTATCGAATAAAAAAGTATGTTGACAGTATGAAATAAAATACATAACAACATACGTCCGGTAACTCTTTTCGCAGTACTCGTTTCGAAATTAAAGACTCGGCTACCTACTCGTCCTGAAACATATCACTCGTACTGTAAAATTTGAGCTACCGGACCGGACCGTATTTAGAATAACTTTAATTACCATTTATGTTTTCATCAACACTAACAAGTATTTAAAATAACAAGTAATAATTTGTTTGTATTGTTTATTCATTATAATAATTCCATTTATTCACCAGAAACTTTTAAACGAAATAAAATCTAATCGACTAGAAATAACGGCAAAGTTGTGCTAGGCTCATCTGGCAACGTTGCAAATTATATAAATGGTTACTATGAGATTTTTACACATTGTTTTCGTCGCCCTCTGTCGAGTGGTAGCTTTATTAAATGTATTGTTGCTGCGATTTGGGTTATCTACGCGCGCGATTGGTGTCCAAGCTTTTCGCCGGCGTTTGACGGCCGACTGTTGGTGCGCCATCTCTTGTTCGCCGGCCGTTGGCCTGTTCGCTCCAAACAATAGCATGGGTCTATCTATATGTATTTAATCAATGAAACGGATAACGGTACTGTATCGATTTCTGCTTGGACATGCGGCAAATCAGCACTGAATCTAAACTATGTTTCGCTTCGCCCAAGTGCGACATGCGGCAAATCTGCACTAAACAGTAGAGGCGAAAATCCCTCGGACCCGATCTGGATATGCGGCAAACCAGTTCTAAGGTGATGAAATATCGTTGTTTCAGGTGGCATTTCGCTTCGTCTGCTGCACCCTCATCCCGGAAATCCAACTGTGTTGCCTGTGCGGCCCCACCCCGATCCTGTCGGAAGTGGAGCACTCCGCCACCAACTGCTTCAAGAACTCAGCTGATATCCTCAGCTCCGCTATTCAATCCCACCCGCGCAATTTCCCCATTTCGTGTCACATCGACGGCGGCATTTTGGGCCTCCTTCTCATAAATACGACCTTCGGCAAATACATGATAACGCGAAATCCGCACCAAAATAGCAACAAAAAGAACGCCAGTAGCTCGCACCGTTTAGACATCTTAAGAACGTTTTACTACCAGTCGGTTCTGACTTTCCTCATGCCCGATCAAGACAGCGATGACAATAAAACGCAAGACTTGAATGTGGGGTTGGAGACTTATTGGTGCTCCGAGTACCACAAGTGTTTCGCGATGAAAATCGGCGACAATATTTTGTGCGTTTTGTTTAATTCGTCCATTCCGACGTTCGCCATGAGGTCCATCACTGAAAAAACTCTCAAAAATTTGGTTTCAGAGAAACAAGTTTGTTGGTGAAGGTTTATTAAAATTAGTTTTGTAACTCAGCGGGTACAGGGGGTGGTGGGGGTGCCACAGTCGCTTCTTTTTTCAACACTCCAGAATAGCACCCAAACAGCCAGATCGTATAAGAGTGCCTATGACCCATGAATCGTCCTTTCGCGAAGTGGGCGGTTTGGAGGAATCTGAACAAAGCCACTGACACACTCTAAACAATCACAGTTGAGTGATTTATAATCTACCGATCGTGCTTACCTCGAGAAAAATGAATAAAAATAAATTCCCCACAATTAACCACCCCATCTCTTGTTTTTTCTTCCGGATCATTTCGTAGCAGCCTCGCGTCGAGATGCTTAAATTGAATTCCGGGGTGTATAAATACGCTTTTCCTGTGACTTCGATGTTGTGATGAATACAAGGCGAAAGTGATTTCATTGAGCAGCAGCTGAATGGGGTATTACCGTCAGCAGCGGGACTTAAAGAGGAAAAAATGTAACAATACACAATCGTTTTCAGTTACGTGAAACAAGAAAAGTCGGCAGGAAACGAAGTGGCTTTGTTGTGGCTTGATTAAGAAAGGCACAATGGGAGATGGGAGATATTTTGAGTTTTGTTCGCGGAAAAAATTTCAATATCCCACTACGACTTTTTTTTATCATATGTTATTTTATAAAATACATATTTAGGTATATTAATTTTCATTATTTACTTTCACCTAATAACAAAACTACAGCAACTATGTACACGCTCTTGGAAAAACTGAGCTATAGTTTGGGAAATTACTTTCTACCATGCACTGGTGGTGTTGTACAATGACGTCACTCCAAATTTATGCATAGGAAATGGGTTTTAAATTGTATACAGTAACATAGTCCTACACATGTAGTTTATGACTCCGTGTTGAGTTTTTATCCGAAACGTCCAGATTTTTGGAAAAAAATCAAAATTATAAAACAATATTTTGCAATTTAATTTTGAATTTGCAAAATCGAATACTTTGAAATCTTGCAGATGTTTTAAAATCATGATAAACATGATACATTTTTAATTAAAATATATTTGCTTATCCCCTCTAAAAAATTTATGACGTCACCTCAAAATTTTGCAGAATAACGCCTATCTTAAATGTATAAAATATGATGAGTTTTATACTTGTGATTTATCACTGCATTAATATTTTTTAGATTTGGTTATACAGGGTGTCTCAAAAAAGTTAATGACTGAGTCAATTTATTTTATTGAAGAAATCAAGAATAGCAAAACTGAATACTTAATCAAAAACCGGAAAAACTGAAATTCACTAATGCAAAAAACAGAAAATCAAAAATTCAATGAATCAAATACCTAGGTCGATCGAAAAGTAGAAATTCACAAATCTCAAAAACGAAAATTGAAAAACGGGAAAACCAAAAAATCGAAAAGTAAAAAATTTGTAATATTGAAAATTAAAAAAATCAAAAACAAAAATAAAAAAATCGGAAATTAAAATAATCAAAATATATTAAGTAAAAAAAATTGCAAAGCCTAAAAACTGAAACGAACAGAAAAATAAAAAAAGCAAAAAATTGGAAAAACAAAAATTCGAAAAATCTAAAATCGAAAAAGTGGAAAATCGAAAATCTGAATAAAGAAACTTGGAAATTCTGAAAATTGGAAAATCGAAAACCAAAAAATCGGAAAGTAACAAAATTGAAGTCTAACAGTTGAGAATGGAAAAATTGAAAAACCGAAAATTCTAAAAATCGACAATGGACAAATTGAAAATCGCAAAATTTAAATTGAAAAATTGAACATGGAAAAATCGATGAATTTGAAAAATCGAAAATTCGACTACTCAAATTTTCTAAAAATCGAAAAATCATAAAACTGAAAAATCCAAAATTCTAATCATCGAAAGTCTGAAAACTGAAAATCGAAAATTCTGAAAAGCGGAAAATAGAATATCGACAAATTTAAAAGAAAGAAAATTGAAGTCTAAAAACCGAAGAATGGAAAAATTAAAAATCAAAAATTCGAAAAATCAAAACCGAAAAATTCAAAGATTTAAAAAGAAAATCGAAAAATCAAAAACCGGAAAAACTGAAATTCACCAATGCAAGAAACAGAAAATCGAAAATTCAATGAATCAAATACCTAGGTCGATCGAAAAGTGGAAATTCACAAACCTCAAAAACGAAAATTGAAAAACGGGAAAACCAAAAAATCGAAAAGTCAAAAATTTGTAATATTGAAAATTAAAAAAATCAAAAACAAAAATAAAAAAAATCGGAAATTAAAATAATTATATAAAGTAAAAAAAAATTGCAAAGCCTAAAAACTGAAACGAACAGAAAAATCAAAAAAGCAAAAAATTGGAAAGACAAAAATTCGAAAAATCTAAAATCGAAAAAGTGGAAAATCGAAAATCTGAATAAAGAACTTGGAAATTCTGAAAATTGGAAAATCGAAAACCAAAAAATCGGAAAGTAACAAAATTCTAACAGTTGAGAATGGAAAAATTGAAAAACCGAAAATTCTAAAAATCGACAATGGACAAATTGAAAATCGCAAAATTTAAATTGAAAAATTGAACATGGAAAAATCGATGAATTTGAAAAATCGAAAATTCGACTACTCAAATTTTCTAAAAATCGAAAAATCATAAAACTGAAAAATCCAAAATTCTAATCATCGAAAGTCTGAAAACTGAAAATCGAAAATTCTGAAAAGCGGAAAATAGAATATCGACAAATTTAAAAGAAAGAAAATTGAAGTCTAAAAACCGAAGAATGGAAAAATTAAAAATCAAAAATTCGAAAAATCAAAACCGAAAAATTCAAAGATTTAAAAAGAAAATCGAAAAATCCAAAATCTGAAAATCGAAAAGTAAAAAAATTGAAGTCTGAAAGCTGAAAAATGGAAAACTGAACAATCGAAAATTCGAAAATCAGATATGCGAAAAACTGAAAATCTGAAAATACAAAACTGGAAAATCAAAAATCTAAAAATGGAAAACCGAAAATCGAAAATTCAATGAATCTAATACGTACGTCGATCGAAAAACTGGAAATTCACAAACCGGAAAAACCGAAATTCACTAACGCAAAAAACAGAAAATCGAAAATTCAATGAATCAAATACCTAGGTCGATCGAAAAGTGGAAATTCACAAACCTCAAAACCGAAAATTGAAAAACGGGAAAACCAAAAAATCGAAAAGTCAAAAATTTGTAGTATTGAAAATTAAAAAAATCAAAAACAAAAATAAAAAAAATCGGAAATTAAAATAATCAACATATATAATGTAAAAAAAAATTGCAAAGCCTAAAACTGAAACGAACAGAAAAATCAAAAAAGCAAAAAATTGGAAAAACAAAAATTCGAAAAATCTAAAATCGAAAAAGTGGAAAATCGAAAATCTGAATAAAGAAACTTGGAAATTCTGAAAATTGGAAAATCGAAAACCAAAAAATCGGAAAGTAACAAAATTGAAGTCTAACAGTTGAGAATGGAAAAATTGAAAAACCGAAAATTCTAAAAATCGACGATGGACAAATTGAAAATCGCAAAATTTAAGTTGAAAAGTTGAACATGGAAAAATCGATGAATTGAAAAATCCAAAATTCTAATCATCGAAAGTCTGAAAACTGAAAATCGAAAATTCTGAAAAGCGGAAAATAGAATATCGACAAATTTAAAAGAAAGAAAAGTGAAGTCTAAAAACCGAAGAATGGAAAAATTAAAAATAAAAAATTCGATAAATCAAAACCGAAAAATTCAAAGATTTAAAAAGAAAATCGAAAAGTAAACAAATTGAAGTCTAAAAGCTGAAAAATGGAAAACTGAACAATCGAAAATTCGAAAATCAAATGTCGAAAAATCGAAAAGCCGAAAAATCGAAAATTTGATAAATCAGATATGCGAAAAACGGAAAATCTGAAAATACAAAACTGGAAAATCAAAAATCTAAAAATGGAAATCCGAAAATCGAAAATTCAATGAATCTAATACGTACGTCGATCGAAAAACTGGAAATTCACAAACCGGAAAAACCGAAATTCACTAATGCAAAAAACAGAAAATCGAAAATTCAATGAATCAAATACCTAAGTCGATCGAAAAGTGGAAATTCACAAACCTCAAAAACGAAAATTGAAAAACGGGAAAACCAAAAAATCGAAAAGTCAAAAATTTGTAATATTGAAAATTAAAAAAATCAAAAACAAAAATAAAAAAATCGGAAATTAAAATAATCAAAATATATAAAGTAAAAAAAATTGCAAAGCCTAAAAACTGAAACGAACAGAAAAATCAAAAAAGCAAAAAATTGGAAAAACAAAAATTCGAAAAATCTAAAATCGAAAAAGTGGAAAATCGAAAATCTGAATAAAGAAACTTGGAAATTCTGAAAATTTGAAAATCGAAAACCAAAAAATCGGAAAGTAACAAAATTGAAGTCTAACAGTTGAGAATGGAAAAATTGAAAAACCGAAAATTCTAAAAATCGATGATGGACAAATTGAAAATCGCAAAATTTAAATTGAAAAGTTGAACATGGAAAAATCGATGAATTGAAAAATCGAAAATTCGACTACTCAAATTTTCTAAAAGTCTGAAAACTGAAAATCGAAAATTCTGAAAAGCGGAAAATAGAATATCGACAAATTTAAAAGAAAGAAAATTGAAGTCTAAAAACCGAAGAATGGAAAAATTAAAAATCAAAAATTCGAAAAATCAAAACCGAAAAATTCAAAGATTTAAAAAGAAAATCGAAAAATCAAAAATCTGAAAATCGAAAAGTAAAAAAATTGAAGTCTAAAAGCTGAAAAATGGAAAACTGAACAATCGAAAATTCGAAAATCAGATATCGAAAAATCGAAAAGCCGAAAAATCGAAAATTTGATAAATCAGATATGCGAAAAACAGAAAATCTGAAAATACAAAACTGGAAAATCAAAAATCTAAAAATGGAAAACCGAAAATCGAAAATTCAATGAATCTAATACGTACGTCGATCGAAAAACTGGAAATTCACAAACCGGAAAAACCGAAATTCACTAATGCAAAAAACAGAAAATCGAAAATTCAATGAATCAAATACCTAGGTCGATCGAAAAGTGGAAATTCACAAACCTCAAAAATCGAAAAAAATGGGAAAACCAAAAAATCGAAAAGTCAAAAATTTGTAATATTGAAAATTAAAAAAATCAAAAACAAAAATAAAAAAATCGGAAATTAAAATAATCAAAATATATAAAGTAAAAAACTGAAACGAACAGAAAAATCAAAAAAGCAAAAAATTGGAAAAACAAAAATTCGAAAAATCTAAAATCGAAAACGTGGAAAATCGAAAATCTGAATAAAGAAACTTGGAAATTCTGAAAATTGGAAAATCGAAAACCAAAAAATCGGAAAGTAACAAAATTGAAGTCTAACAGTTGAGAATGGAAAAATTGAAAAACCGAAAATTCTAAAAATCGACGATGGACAAATTGAAAATCGCAAAATTTAAATTGAAAAGTTGAACATGGAGAAATCGATGAATTGAAAAATCGAAAATTCGACTACTCAAATTGTCTAAAAGTCTGAAAACTGAAAATCGAAAATTCTGAAAAGCGGAAAATAGAATATCGACAAATTTAAAAGAAAGAAAATTGAAGTCTAAAAACCGAAGAATGGAAAAATTAAAAATCAAAAATTCGAAAAATCAAAACCGA